AATGTAATATCTTAGAATTATGGACTAAATATGGAAAGCCAACTGTTATAAGGGAACAACAACAACAACCCAGTTAAATCCCACAAGAGTAGGGTCTGGGGAGGGTGTGTGTACGCAGACCTTGCCCCTACTCGAAAGTAGAGAGGCTGTTTCCAAAGAGACCCCCGGCTCAACGTCGAAAGTTGCATTGCTTGACTAACTGCTACTTCATTAATTAAAGAAGCGCAAATAGTTTAGATATCCATTTTGATTTATTCCATCACACCCCAAAGCCAACTGTTATAAGGGACTATTTATGAATTCACTCTTAGAGAAAATATGTATTCTGGGAATAATTGGGCATTTGGAGGTTGGAACTCCAAAGGGCTTTAGGTGCCCAAGGAAAGGTAAGATAGGGCCATTTTGAGGTCCAAGTACTTGATATACTATTGTTGGTGAATGTTTTCATAGACATTGTTTCAGCTCAAAATTCCTCATCACAGTATTGGAAATGCTTACTCACTGCACATAGACCAACTATATGGCAAGTTGGTTCGGTTTGCATGGATGGCCTTCTGAACCTCAGGAAGATTAAAGTAAAAATGTCTTTCATAGCTCATACACACATCAACACCTAAGCTTATCTTTGTGGCCTACACCAAAGGGCAAACACCAAGTTGCATTAACTTATAACACACACACACGCACACACAGAGATGAACTTATTGAGTTTGTTAAAAAATCAGTGTTTTCATCAAAACGTTGATCCCAGTTTTTATGTACTCCCCCTGTCCCAAAAAACATTTCTGCTCTCAACTAAAATCTCCTTTTTACCCCTCCTAATTATTAACCTACCTATCAAATCATATCTATTCACTATTAATCTACCCATCACATTCTATCCAACTATAAAGTAAGGGTAAAATTGAAAAGAAACACTAAAATTACACATTCCTTAAATCCCACCTTTTTCTAAAGCTGAGAAGTTTTATGGGACGGAGGTAGTAGCATTTAGATGAAAATGCCATAAAATGTAGATTAAAAAAATACCATCTTGCGTAAACGCAATTCCTGCTCCACAATTGAGGGATAGCATACGTCAAGAATCACATCGTAGTTGTTTACATAGTCACCAACAATGCGGTTCGCCTCTGTTATGGCATCATTACACGATTGTGTCACATTGTGTGGACTAGCAAACACATAGTCCTCAAAATCACACTCTTTCATTAGTGTCAGACCAACTTCATCAGAAATCATCCCATGAGACCAAAAGTATTCATATGTTGCCGGAACATCACGATCAAGTTTAAGCAGAGGGTTCCCAATCTGCCCAGTGCCAAACAGATTCTAAAGTGTCACCGGTTATTCAAAAAAATGAAAAATAGTTGCAAAGTGTGTAAGCACTGAACAACCCCCCCCCCATCCCCACCCCACCCCAAGATATATTCAATATTAAAGGAATTGTAGTTCACATACTGCAACTCCTTTGAGGTTGAACTTGAATCCCTTGGAATGTTGATTGTAGTCCAGAAGAGCAACAGTTAACTGCGGAATGTAATGTCCTAAACAAGACATGTAACATGTAAGCACTCAGCATCAAACCTAGTAGTACACAAATGAGGTAAAGCATAAACGAGGGTGTGTTCGACACTCAACTTTTCAGAGGTTTTTTGTTTTGTTAAAGAAGAGCTCTTGGGAGTTTTGACTGAGTAAGATGTGTGACTTTAGTCAAACATCTATTAGAAGTGATTGGCAATTGTTTACAAAAACCTTTGAGGTCACTTTATTGTTTGTTCTAAAAAAATCATATTATAAATAATAACATTACATTACAATTATTGGGGGTGTTAGAATATACGCACGCCTTTGGAGTGGGGCGAATATACTATTCAATGCTTTTAGAAAATTTTTGAGGGAAAGAGAATTGTTCAAAGAATCACGCAAAAAGTATGGAGAAAAATATGAAGAGCGGAGGAACACACGATCCGTACTGGTTCAGCCTAATACCTACATCCTTACACCAAACATCAAACTTAATGGTGTTTGACAATCCTTACAACTTGAGAACTTCATTTCACAATCCTCTTATCTTTCCACCTAACGCTTGATTTCAAAAACGATAGGATTTCTTCCCAAACTTGAGGTAATCACAACTGACAACTCCAAGTTTCCAACCCAGATGTACAATGAACGATACGGCGAACACAACGGAAACTCGGAAAATACTCTCAAAAAGAGGAGGTTGCTGCAAATTCAAGAGCTTATGGAATATGGCAATTGATTAACTCTCTAAACTCCAGAAAAAAAAAGAATTTTCACAAAGGAACAATGTTTGCTTGGATTATGTCATTATGAACAAGTAGAGGGAGTAGAATGCTTTGATACTCTTGAATAATCAAGGAGAAGTAGAATATTGGCTTTCTCTTTTCTTCACGTCCCAAGGCTAGCATATATGAAATAACATTTGAATTTTAAAAAATATCAGCTGTTGGGGCAGTTTTACCTGTCAAGAAATTGATTACTCCTTTAGAGGAATCAATTACTTGACAGTTCAAACTGTAAAAAATGAATTTTCAAACTGTCGGTGGATGAAAAATAGATTCAATGATCAATCATGAAGGAAATCAATTACTCTCATGCAGTAATCGATTCAAGAGGGTTTCAAAAAACATTTCCAGAGATAGAAAACATGTATCAAGAACGTTTTGAAGAAATAATTTGTAAATCCTTTGAATAGAAAAAGAAATTGAAGTAAAAACGCTTTACAGGAAAACTTTAAATGTCAATTCTAAATCCAAATTCCTTAACAATATTTGCTAAGACCTGACTTCTTTGATCCTATCTTGATCAAACACTTGGCATTATCATAACATATGGGTCATGGTTAACAAACATCTCATCTTACCAAGCACTTCTTTCACAAAATTCTAACAGTTGACACAAACATCAAACATAGTCACAGTAACAAATGACTCTGAGTAGCCACATTATTACTACAAGACTGATGGAACTTTCTCCAAATATTCATTCATTGGGATGGTTTGGCAATGAGCGTATCATGAATTTTGTGGAAAAAAGGACTTTTTGAGCTTAAGTAAAATTATTAGAAGATTTGGTAAAGAGTATTTTGGTTCCAAAAAATTGGTTTACAAAATGCTTGTCTTTCATGGTTTTTGAAACAGATGTCTAGAGCTTTTTTACAGATGATGTTTCTCAAGTTTGGTTACCAAAAAAAACTTCTTTTTATACAACTTTTATGGGATAATTATCCAAATTTCAAACAGTTAACATAAACATCTAACACATCCATGTAATACATTATTGCCATTAACAGAAGTCCCTCCCTACAACACCCAATTTCTCTTACCTGCATAGCTTTCCCCTGTGAGATACAAGTCTCTGGTTTTATATGATGGGAACTTGTTGAGCCATTTCATCATGAAAATACGCATATCCCTAGCTGCCAAAAGCATCTGAATCATTGGCCTTCTAATTCTAAAATTCACAAGAACAAAAAAGAGAAGAAAATAAAAAAACTACATGAAATAAGGAGTCTTTTGTTACCAGTTGAGGCATCTCCACTATTGTAGTCAGAACTTGTATTTGAATATGACCATCCCACGCCAGCCGGAGACTCAACAAAAAGGAGATTCGATGCTACAGAAAAAATTGCAACAAAAGCAAACGTGTAATTCATCATCGGTGAATGCATACAAATAATGATAAATTGCAGCACTGCAAGGTAAGATGTTAATGAGTTGGGTCCACACACCTTTATTCCATGACTTTGGATTTCTTCGAAGCCCTCGGCCATCACCTCGGGGAAAGAATGGTCCCAGCTCGGTGAATGCTCCTCCGCCAATTGAAGAGCAGCCTGGGCCTGCACAAAGAGAAGGAAGGGATCATTCACTTCACAAGTTTCTTCATTTACACTAGGAATTCAAATTATTAGGCAAAAGAAAAAATGAAACAGTCAAGTTATTCTCCATATCTCATGGTGGGAGGAAAAATACTCTCCATTCACTCACAGAAGATGTCTCCTTACATCTAGTCATCTACCCCAGACCACACTAGTGGGACTACACTGGGTAAGTTGTTGCTACACAATTGTATGATTAAAAGGAAAGATTGGAGCTCATGTCCTCATGGGAACATCTCAATTCAACAAAAAATGTTCGCTTTTAAGATGAAAGTTGGGCTGATCAAAAGCTAATGAATGAACAACAAAAGAAAAAAAACAGACCTCCATTCAACCAAAGAGTGAGGGGCTTGTGAGCGGGCTCGACTTCAGCTTCAACAAAGTAGTAAAAGAGGCTCCTCCCAGCCTTCAAATCCACATCAACATACCCAGCATACTGCTTGAACCCAACCTTCGGCTGCCCAGGCAAACCCTTCACCAGTTCATCCTCCGGGTACCCATTCCCACAACCCAAAAGCCCAAGAACAAGAACCCCACAAATCACCCAAATACCCATCCCTCAAAACCTCCCAACAACTCTTGAGCCTTCCTTCTCCGCCCTCTCAGAGTCGTATAAGAAGGAGAACTGACCTACAATAATTGTGGGTAATAATGGCAGGAGCAGGGCAAATGAGACTCTGGGGTTTGGTTGAACCAAAAAAAGGCGCGTGCCCGAATTGGTACGACCCGGATAACGAGCAGAGAGCGACCTGTGATTTGTGTGTACTCGGAAATCTGTACAAGATGCGATTGAGAACCGTGATTGATTGGAAATGGAGGCAGACAGTGTTTTGAAAGGTTTCTTGGATTTTAGTCCTTAAGTGGTTTAGTTCATATATACTTCTCTCTACACAGCTGATTCTATCTTATCGTGTTTGTTATAGAGAGAGAGAGAGAAGAGAGAGGCGGGCGAATGCGGTGCCTCGCTTGTAGCATTGTTGACTGCTCCATACTTCCTTCCTTGGGCATTTTGTACTCAAATTTTGTAGTTCCCTCTCTTGGCGTGGGTTTGTGTTAAGTAGATGGTAGAAATAGGGCGTTGGGGGACATGGAATTGAGATTAATAGTGGTAATGGGCATGACACCCACGTTAGCTTGAGCCATTGGAACCTCTTCCTCCCTCTTTTTTCTTCCTCTTTTCTTCTCTATAAATTGAATCAATTTTTTTAAAATTCAACACAAATACAAATCTCTCTCTACCTATCATCTTTTTTTAAAAAACTATTATTCAAGTATTTTATTTAATGAATGTAATTTTTTTTATTCAATGAATGTAATTTTTTATTTATTGAATGTAATTTTTTATAACGAATGTAACTTTTTAATTAACTATTCCAATTCTATTAAATAATTAGATGTTATTAATTTAATTTTAGAAGATGTGTATTTAAAATGAAAAAAATGAAGGTTTGAAGCCCCAATTTGAAGCCTCAGGGCTTCAAACCCATTTCTACTGAAACTGTAAGGTAATTTAAAGCTGATGTGGCAGAGAGATAATGTTTGAAGCCCTGGAGCTTCATACGTATTTCCAGTGCTCTTAGTCACTCTTTTGAGGCTAAAGAAAAATTAGTGAGTGGTGTAACGCCCTAATACATGGTCTAAAAATTATTTTATGATAAAGTATTTTTAGAAATTATATTTTGATCCAACAATATAATAGTTCTCTGTTTGACCAAAAATGAAAGAACTTTTCAAGTTAACCATCTTTTGCTAAAACATAATTTTATGGATAGGTCTCAAAGAGACAAATCCAACGGTATGTTTTTTGATCAAATCTGATTCATAGATTTTGAGTTATGATATTTTTATAATATTAAAATATGTAACTTGCATAAAATGAATAAGTGACTAATATGATTGAATAATATTAATTGGTTATGAGGATATTTTTAATTATATGTCAATTAAATCAATTTTGACTCTCTCGAAGTCAAACACCAAAAAATATGATGCCCGACTTTTAGAAAAACATGAAAGTTAAATAGTTGCGTAGAGTTTGACTCTTTGAGTGTATCAGTGCAATCAAATTTCAATTTGGAGAAAGTTGGATTAAAAAGTATGCCCCGATCAAGATAAATTAATCAAAACAGTGGAAGAAATTAAATACTCAGCTACCACCCCCACCCACTGCGCCAAGTGAGATTATCGAAGAGATCACAAATGAAATCACCAACGGCAAAAACTCTTCTCTTTCCTCATGCTACATCAGGGGACCTTTAGTATCCTCATTTCTTCACCAATATTCTTCATTCTTCTTCTAATAGTTTTATTAGAGTATACAGAATAGACCCTCATAGTTCGCCCCTGTCGAAGTCACCGGAGCAAGCCGTGGTTGTTGCCGGAAGTTGCACTGAATTGTTGAAGAAGAAAACCCTTTGTGCAAATCTCTCCACTTTCATTATTTTAATCTGGTTTCTTCACAAAAGTTGTAGCCTTTTGTTTTACAAATTCGTAGCTTCAAACGCTTCGCGATTTCATTGAGTAACGAATAAGATGTGGCCCAAATACCAACACCGGGATAAGTATGACGTGAAGTGACGAACTTCATTGATTTCGACATTGTTTTTGCTTGCATTCGTTGAATTTCATCCCGCTCATTTCCAAGTGTGTACCATGATTTTTAACAACGTTACAAGCCATAGAATGATCCCTCCACATATTGATTTGTATATATTTGAAAATATAAATATTTTTATACTCATAATCACTAAATTTGATTTTGTTGTTAACACTTCAAATGAATTGTTCACAAACGATCTATGGATGTTAGAGAACATTTTTATATAGTTAAAATGAAATTTAGTAGCTTAAAATGGTATTTTAAAAGCTTGAACCGAGGTTGAAGATGAAATATTGTTCTGTCATAGCGGAACGGTCAGCCGTTTCCTCGTAATGGTCGACCGTCGTTTGTCTAGTGGCACGATAACGGAGCGGTCGACCGTCGTAGGATAACAGTCGACCGTCACCAAACTATTCAACACTGGAAAATTTGAATTTTGAAATTGTAAAATCCTATTTTGCTATTTTTCAACTATAAATCATTATTGCTATCATTTCCAAATTGAAAGTAATAGCGATAATATAAATGTTAGAGAAAAATTCATACTATGTTACATCTCTAAGTGAATATGAGAAAACACTCCCCGAGTCGTACGCTATTGAACAATATTATTGAATAAAGAGAAAATCACATCGTACACTTAAATGAATAATGTATGTTATGTAATTGTGCATACACTAAATTTTTAATGTGTACACTCTGACTCTCGGATTGTGTAAAAAATATGTGTTTTTTTAATTTTATTTTTCTTTTTCTATAGATTAACAAAGTGAAAAATATATTTTAACAACGAAATAAAAAGTATACAGTTATTAAATATTGATACATTAATTTTATTCTTCATAACATACATACTTCAAGTATACACACACACACATACAAGTATTTGCAAAAAATGAATGTACAGAATAAATATTACTCCGTAATAATTTGATATAGCTTTATAAGTTTATATACTAAATATTTGAATAAGGCTTTATTCCGTACGCTTCATCTGAGTTTTTGAAATTCTAATCCGATGTGATTACATTTGATCTTATCTAATTGATTTGATCTGATTAGATTTGATGTGGTGTATATTAATTTAAATTTGATTAAAATTAAACTTAAAATTATTACAATAATTTAATAATTTTAAAATATTATAATGATCATTCATATTATTTTTAATTAATTCGTCAACATATAATACAATCAAGAATTTTATTTTAGAGTCATTAGCATCATTAAATAAAAAAAATTCATATATACATTGAAGTAAATAAAAGACATTGACAATAACTAATAGTTGATAAATATAATCATTTACTTTATACCCAGAGTAATATTTAATATCTTTTCAATATCACTATAATTTTTTAATCTATGTGAAAACAAAATGATCAGTTCTTTTATATATAGTGAAGGCATGTATTATTACTTGGTAATAATAAAAATAATATTCCTCCGTTTAATAATAATAATAATATTAATGATAGTAGTTCTCCATCCATATCATCGCATTATAATAATAATACTAATAATATTAACTATAATATTAATCATATTTAAAATTATAATATTAATTGGTATTTAGGTGTATGTAACTTTAAGTAAAGTAATGTGATTTAATGAAATAGTAAATATTATTTAATCAGTGACAAAATATTTATATTATTTTAATACTTGTTATTATTTTAGTCTGATCTGATTAGATTGGATCTGATCTGATCTTATCTGAATAGATCTAGTTTGATTGGGTTTTAAAAAGAATAAATAATAAGCTAAAAAAATTGTATGTACGGACCCTACGCATACATAAGACTTTGGAGTTTGAGTCCCTATATTATACATTTGAAGGTACGACATTATTCCTATATCCGTGCAAATACTCATTTTAAAATGATATATTCACTTGAAAACTACATAATAACCATTACATTTAAAGAAAATATACTTTTACCAGTAACATAATAGGCAGTACTTATTTTCAATTCAAATAAAGTTGAATGTGCAACTAAAATAAAAAAGTATACGAAATAAGTATTTAATTACTCAAAAATTAGTACTTGTGGCAAATGCACGGAAAATACGGTACATAGTACCATATATATTGCCTTGTAGCCTAGATTGAAGGAGTAGAAAAAAACAAGAAAAATGTTTGGAGTACACTTTTGTACACCATAAGCCCCATATCACACTTTTTAGTATAAAAAATGTTAGGGACAAGCATTTAACACTAAATGCATACCAAAATCAATACAGACAACACACAAAACATTTAGAGGGTGTTTGGTAGTACGTTGCTTTTAATAATTTAACTTCTGCTTTGAGTGGAAATGATTTTACTCTGTTTGGCATGTCAGCTTCTGCTTTTAACCACCACTAATTTGTACATAGAACACCGTTTCGGAGAAGCATGTATGAGGTACTTTTGCTTTCAGCTTTTGTAGAAATTAGTTTATGCACAAGTTAATCACTCCCAAACACCCTCTTAGTGTTGTCTGCACAGACATTGATGTGTTTCTTGTGGTCCCTTAACACTCATGTTTTAGTATAAATATAAAAGAAGAAAATCAATACTCTCTCCATCCACAAATAAATTTCTCGTTGTGCGTTACAATGTTTGATTGAAGTTATTTTTAAATCATTTTATATGAAAAATGGTGTAAAATTTAAAAATAAAAATTACTCCGGGGTATATCAAAAGATCTACAAAACTAGAGGTGACATGACTATATTATTTTATCAAATGGGTGAAGAAAATAGGTCAACAAAGTGAATAAAATTTAACTATGTGAATAATGAACGAAAAATTTATTTATGGACGGAGAAGTATAAAAATAATGGTGTACATTTAGAATACATGTAGTCATTTCCAAAAAAAAAAACAAACAAAAAAAATCTGATAGTCAGGAGACATACAGACAATACAGTACTCCTTACAAATTTCAACTTTTAAGACTCGTTTCTACTTTCTACATTAGTCTTCTTGCTTCCGATCGGACTAAGGTCCCGTTTTCTGCAGCTCTCCAAGCTGTCATTGCCGTGAAAAAATGAGAGGAATCCTCGGTGGAGCCGGCGGTGCTTCTCCTAGTCTCATAGAGCCCAGACACAGGTCCTCTTCTGCGTCTAGGTAGCTCTCTCTGCTCCCTCACTCTTTTTTTTTTCCGCATTGATCGGTACATCTGTGTTGCGAGTTTCTGATTGTTGCTTAGATTGTTATTTTTAAAAATTGGTTTCGGAACAAAATTTAAGAGTACGGATTTCTATGATTTCTATGATCAGTATGCAGTTTTG